ACAAATTCTATTTAAAATTCCTTTTTTTTCCTTAAAATTCCTTTATTTCATAACTGTTGCCATTGTCAGGCAATACTCAGTACTCAATACTGACTATAAATTAATCCTAGACATGTATCGAACTACGCCTTAGTCTTTTAAGGAAGTCTACTAGTGTTTTGCCATCCTAGATATATGATCAAAGCACCCGTGTTTCATCGCTCTCTCTCCCAGTAATGTTCTTGTTAACACTCGAGTGTTACTTTATTTTTTCATCATTTTCTTGTTTACAGGAGCTTTCATCTCAACAACATCCCTAGCGTGTCTAATGTACTATTTGAAGATGTCGCGCCAAGCATTCGATTCATGTTAGTATACAAAGCATTATATCATTGCTTGGATCGGCATGTAGTTCCTTGAATTTCAGTTTTCTTAACTCAGTGTCGGAGAACATTAAATTGTAACAATACAAGTGATTTTGACTATTCTAAGAGCCTGGTATTTGTTATCTCTAATCAGCAGATGCCTATTAAGTTTTACGACAATGAAACCACCCAAGACTGAGTTCGTCACTGTGTTGTTGCGAAAACGAAGAAATGATCTAAGGCAGTGAAAACATATATATAATATATATAGATATTTTTAACTTAATTGCACTCCCCTAATTTTTCAGGTACTTTCATTACAACGAAATGCGAGTATTACCTGAGGGTTTCTTCGCGAACATGGAGAAACTGATAACAGTGTAAGTCAGCTAGAATATTTCGCCACGTCTTGCCAAAGTTTCGAGTGATGCTAAACTTTATCTGATTTAACCCAACTTTACGGTGTTTAATACCTTGTATAATTGTGCCACTCCTAATGACAGCCTGGATATACTAAGGAACAATTGCAGTTAATTAACTATGTTCCCTTTTCGAAATTTGAATAAAGTGAGTGTTTTTGATGTTATGTACAAATCTTAGGACTGTAGACACCAATCTGATGTGCTGTCATTTGACCAAAGAAGATGCGGATTGCGATTTTGTCTACGTTGACAGCTTCGCCAGCTGTGAAAGTATGTTTCGTAATCCAGCTCCAAGGAAGTGTATTTGGGTGATCGGAATTCTGTCGTTGGTTGGAGCTGTGTTTGTTATCGTCTGGCGGCTGGTGTTCAAGGAGAAGAAGAAGAAAAACAAGATCCAATCAATTATGTTGATACATTTGGCGGGGTCTGATGGACTTATGGGTGTCTATCTGATCATTGTAGGTGTGATGGATGCCATTTGGTCAGGGCAATATTTCTTGCATGATTTTGAGTGGCGATCAAGTTTGGCATGCCAGATAACAGGTGCCATTGCAGTGCTGTCGAGTGAGGTGTCAGTGATGCTGATTGCCATGCTGTCTGCCGACCGGGTTAAAAATATTGTGTTCCCCTATCGTGGTAGGTCCCTCTCATGTAAAGTGACCCACATATTGTGCATCGTAATCTGGGTCATCGGTTGCATAATTGCATTTCTTCCCACGGTAGGCCTCGATTATTTTGGTAGCTCCCAGAAAGGTCACCATTTCTATGGCAGGTCAGTTGTGTGTTTGCCACTGCAGCTTTCATCAGACAAACCGGCGGGGTGGGAGTATTCGGTTGCCATGTTTGTGGGCCTGAATTGTTCCCTTGTTTTCTCTGTCATTATTGCCTATACGATGATATTGTATAATTCCTGCGCTTCAAGCTGGCGCATGGCTCAGCAGGGGACCAAAAGAGAAAAGAAAGCCAGGTCAAATGCAGCCCGTAGAAGAGGGGAAATCGCGCTCGCCAAAAGGGTGTTCATTATCGTACTTACCGACTGTCTCTGCTGGCTTCCTATCGTGGTGATTGGAATGAGGTCTCTCTTGGAAAAGTCCTTCTCTACACCTGGTGACCTGACTGTCTGGATAGCAGTGTTTGTTCTCCCGATAAACTCAGCCATTAATCCCATTTTGTACACGTTCTCTACGCCACAAGTAAGTATAACGTTTTTGGATCTTAAAAAAATTAACTCGTTATGTGTCCTTAAACGTGCAGTTGCTGTTGTCGGATCAACTGAGGTGATAAGAAAAGAAACACTGTCTTTTTACCACACCATGGAGAATTTTGAATGACCTAGTTCTCATTACTTGGAAAGTAAGCTACATGGAAAGACTAGAAAGCTTCAAAGTATTACGATGCCCTTCCTTAGTATTAATTCAAAATCAACATCTGTCTTGATTACCCTGTATTCATATGCTTAACTGTCCTGGCGTTAACCAGCTCCAACCCTTCACGTTAGCTATTCAATACTCTTTTTAAAGAGTAGCACTTAACTAAAATATCTAATATTTGTAGGTTCGAGGCATTCTGAAACCAAAATTTCAACAGTTCTGGACTTTTCTGATGGGAAAGTGCGGACGGACTGCAAACAATGAAGGTAGTTTTATCGAACATAAACGCCAGGCTAAACATTATTGATACAGCTTCCTTACCTCAGGTCACACGAGTTATATTCTACTGCTTTCGAATATTCATCGAGAACACCATAGTTATGTACCTAGTGCACTGGACAGTTCCAGTGGGAGGATGCAGTTTAAGCCCTGCCTGGGTCATTATTTTGGGTTCTAGTTTGGACAATGCACTTCAACTCTCGCTTTTCCTATCTCCACCCGGAAATATAAAGGATTACCGCTGATCTGTTAGGAATACCCAAAGAGAGAATAGAATGGGGGGCCGGGGGGGGGGTTCTTCGTGATCATCACTTGGTTCTAAATGTTGCTCAGGCTCACTCTGCACTTCTTCGGACTCTCCATCGCTCTCTGCCTCTTCCTGGTTTTGAACTGTGATAATAATAATAATAATAATAATAATAATAATAATAATAATAATAATAACAATAAAATGCTCAGATACGACACAATTTAGGTGGTGTTAGAAATGAGCCGATGTCCTGAATACGTTAGCTTTACTCCTATGATATCAGTCAGATTCAGAGGATTTTATCACAGTATTCCATTTGCTTATTATTGTTTATCATAAACTCAAAAGAGAGAGCAACAATAGTGTATCATTGTCAGCTTATTACACAGAAAGTTCATAAGACAAGTCATTGTGACGTTTTGACCTCAGCGCAATCTGTCTCCACCCTATTCTATTTCTGCATATTGTCATGTCATTCATAATGCGTACCTTCCTCAATAACATTCACTTCTATGCCCTGATCTTGACCTTATGGAAGGAAGAAATGACACTCGTTGACTCAACTTAATGAAGTGAATGAATGATTTACCTTACAATCCTTAGTTTGCCAGCCCACTCCTGGTGACCAGCAGGAAGGTGAGCCTGGAGGACAAGGAGAAGCAAAAGAAGATAATAAACGGCATGGACAGAAGGAAGGTAAATCTGAACAAGGAGGAAAAACAGAAGATCATAAAGGCAGTGAAAAGCAGCTCGCTAAAACTGATCAAAGAAAACCAAGGTTAGACCCTAAAGAATGCAAAAAGCAGAAAGTTGAACTTGAACAGAGGGAGGAACCAAAAGGGGATCATAGGAAAGCTGGAGAGCAGCAGGTTGAGGTTGAAAAAGAAAAAGAGTCCGCGGAAGACCAAGAAGAATCTAAACAGAAAATTGATGAAGACACGGATGATGAACTAGCAGAACACGAGCAGCTTATCAATGATAAAGGTAAGTTGACCCATTCTCTGTCAACTCTTAATTAAAAGATAACAATCCTTCTTCTTTATTTCTCGAACAAAGTTTTAAGAGCAAATGTGGCCAAAAATCGAACATTTTCGAAATATCGAGGCAACAGCCAAAACTGAATCAATTCGGCTCATATTCTCAAGTTAGGTGGGCCTTACAGTGAAACAAACCACTGCATACTTCGTTTGGCTGAATATCGATTTATTTTCGAGAAAATCAGTAATAACTGAATTCCACCTAACTGCCGCTTTAGAAGCTCAAAATTTTTAGACGAATCTCAGAGCGTCGTGCCACGAATTAAAAACACTTGGACCAATGAAAAGTACCAAATCTTCAAAAACAACATCAAAACATATGCTGACAGAAATTTGAGCAATTGTTGATTGTTTTGTATACACAATCCAATTGAATTTATCCGACCTTCATCTAACTTGATTAAAAATAGGTCAAAAAGTAACCCGTGATTTAACTATGTGCTAGACAAAATAATCGACTGAGAATCTGGCTTTTGGAAGGCGAAGTGCAGTCCTTTTTATAATTTAGTCTCCGAAGGATTTTTCGGGGAAATGATTTGGTGCCGTCGGTTAGTCGAAAATGTACACATCCAAACGCAAACTCGATTGTGTCGCATTTCGCATCCAAACTACAGTTTTTTCAACACAATATTCACTCACCGTCCATGTTGCTGTATCGCAATAGAGGATTGAAGTGCTGAAATTGTTGCATCGCTCTCACAGTAGCGATATAACTCGGAAGAATAGTCAACACCTCTTGATAACGATTGTTTTCAAAGCGTATCTCAGGGTTATCTATTCCCCTTTCGTTGAAAAGGAGCCTGTAATTACTTCAAGTAAGAGAACTTTGTAGGGGGAATGTTGCTAGTTCAGGAACACGTTTCTCACAAAGGATCGATCTAAATATGCGAAGTAAAAAAATTCCTTAAACAAGTGTTTCGTGAAAGGACGAGTAATTCAATGTGTGCCATTTTTGATACCTGGCGCTGTCAAAAACGGGCCTTTGAAGCGATTTTCGCTCGGAAAAATTATTTTACAATATTTCGAAAAACTAGAGCGATTTCATTATTTTGGACTAAGACAGATTCATGGGAAAATTTTAAAGGAAATCGATATTTTGAACCGAAATGCATTTTACCGCCTTTAGAGGGACTGTCTCTCAATGATATCTAGAACAAGTGAGACGAGCTGAAATGAACACCTGAGCTGTGTTCAAACGCTAGTCGTATGTAACAAAATTTCGTTTCTCTGAATTTCTGATCTGGATGAATTACGGAGAGTTATCTAGTTATTTTAAGTAATATTTGCCATTTTAACCCCAATTAACATGTAAACCAAAGCTGAAGTACTTCAAATCAGGATGCAAAAGTTCTTCGTTTTCATCCTTAAATGGAAGGCTCAGTTGGCTGTTAAGAATTCCTTTTTACTTCCTTTTCTATAAAGCTCCTCTATATATCAAAGAAAGTTATTACTAAGAACTCGTAGAAACCTGGAGAAAAAGTATTTATAATGTAGTATATTTCTGTTTCGGTCCTCCTTAAATCACGGGCATGGTGGTGGTATTTATCCTCTGTTCATCTATCCGTTTGTTCACTTAGGTTCTGTTGAGTTGATTGCTCAGCTTCAGCAGATGCAACTCGATGCAAGCAAAGTCAGTCACAAGAGAGACCTAAATTTTGAGTTGAAGAAAATTGCTTCAGGCAAGGGCCTCAGAATTGTAGACAATGAAGGATCAGGAAATTGCATGTTCTATGCTTTGTCAGATCAACTGGAAATGGCTTTAAGAATCAAAATCAAGCATGACGAATTAAGACAAATATTGGTCCAGTACCTCAGAAAAAACCCTAAACTAGTAAGTTGATGTCTTGCACTCTATGTTAACCACTGTTACTTTGGAAGCACCATTAGGGTTAGATCCACATGTGAGCCAACGGCCGACAAATCACTACACCTCCTGTGGGGGATAATAAGGATCATAAATACTCTGAATCAGCGTTTAGTATAAACCACACCGCGCACTCATTGCGGGTAAGCGATTAGCAGGTACCATTCACCACCTTCTGGTATATACGTAAATAATTGTCTACCTCAGTGTCGGTGAAAGGGGTGGATAAATACCTTGGTAAATACCCACCCTCATTTACCTTTATTTCGGAGAATAAATGTTTAATATTTCTGGATTGCTCGTAAAAGCACGCTGTGTTGTTCAAGTGTTTTACTAGAGTCCATGTCCGGGTCACGGATGAATTCAGACCTCCTTGTGAAAATGAAAGGGCTTTGTCTTGCGGAGAAAGTGGCCAACCTAAGGTTTTTTTGAAAGTACTTCGCACTTGAATCTCCCCCAGACGGAACAATCCTAATTGGATAACCCTGACTCTGAATAAGATGTACACTAGATATTCGATGTTTCAGAGAGACAAATTCAGGAGTTGAGACTGCTACATCCAATGTAGATCCTTGTGTTCATCACTCTGATTGGTTATTATCTGTTCTTACTGTTGTTTAGTATCTCTTTGTTATTTACTCATCCGATGACTCCTTCCAACGTACTCAACCTGGTCCAGTGTACCATTAACTTTACACCCTAAGTTTCGTTCTCTACTTTACTCTTCTCACAGCCGGATGAAACAAATCTGTTTCACTTCGTCCATGGACATCAATCATGGGCTGATTACTTAAGGTACATGGAGCAAGATGGCGCTTGGGGTGACCATGTTATTCTATGTGCCGCAGCAAACTGCTACAAAACTTGCATTCGTGTGGTCAGCAGTCTTAACGCTGCTCACGATGTTATCTTACTGCCACAATGTCCTGTTGACAAAAGTAGGACACTTCTGTTGGGACACATCCATGAAGTACACTATGTCAGCCTTCATTTCACACAAGGTACAAGTCTTTATATTACGCCCAGTGAATGAAGTGTGATTTTGTAATGATATTTTGTGTAATTATCTACATCACCTAAGAGGGAGGGGGTGGCTCTATCGTTCTCTGGTATAAGCCGCCATCAACTGGTCATTGCTAACATGACGTCACCTAGCAAAACTGGAAGCGCTTCGCCAAGTTTGCTCAGTCGAGTTTGAGGAAAGTAATGAGAGCTAACAAAGTAACTGCCATTACAGGCTCCTGGTGGGTCATTATTGACTAATTTTCCGTGAGTGTACATTTATATTGTGAATTTAACTATATACTGTCTTGTGAAAATGTTTCTTTGTTTCTTTTCGAAGTTTACTTATTCCTATCCGAGCAGCCATATTCTCTCCTCCTGTTAACATACATTCCGTGACAATTTGTTCCTCGCTTGGTGCAAGGCTTGGTATGGGGTGGACGAGAGGCTCTAGTTCGAAGCGCAGGGTTCCTTCTGATAGCTTTGGACCTCTATAAGTAGTCATTTACTTCTTAAATTTATCATCTTGGACGGATAGATTAAGAAGATAGGCACAACATGGGTTTGTTTAGTCTTTTCTCAATGGGCGTGAACATTCTGGTCTGACCAGACAACAGGCTTATGTTAAATTTACGTATGATGCACGATCCTCGCAGTAGATAGCGCTATTTAAGCAATAGCGAAAATCAGACCTGAAAAAAAAAAAAAAAAAAAAATCAGGCCTGTACGGGACTCGAACCACTGACCTCTGCGATACTAGTGCAGCGCTCTACCAATTGAGCTAACAAGCCAACTGGGAGCAGGCTGTTAAGTTGATTCGTAATAAACCCGTGAAAGTGTTGAGCAATTGGTAGAGCGCTGTACTAGTATCGCAGAGGTCAATGGTTCGAGTCCCGTACAGGCCTGATTTTTTTTTGATCTGATTTTCGCTATTGCATAAATAGCACTATCTACTGCGAGGATCGTGCATCATACGTATCTAATACCGCAGTTCAAAATATATGAACTTCATATATTCATTGTGTCTCATTTATCACTTTCACGGGTTTATTACTAATCAACTTAACGGCTTGTTAGCTCAATTGGTAGAGCGCTGTACTAGTATCGCAGAGGTCAATGGTTCGAGTCCCGTACAGGCCTGATTTTTTTTCAGGTCTGATTTCCGCTATTGCTTAAATAGCGCTATCTACTGCGAGGATCGTGCATCATACGAAAGTAAGATCTACCAAATGGACTCGACGCGACTTTATTGATGGGGTGTCGACCTCACCATCCTCCTTTCACTCGTTAAATAAAATGTTTTTGACCACTTTCGGCAAGAATCCTGCCATCCGAACATTTTCCTACCGCTGTCAAGAAGTAAACTATCCATTTTTGTTTCTCAAACAACCACCTCCGCTGGAAACAATAGAGGTGCCGGCAATTTTGAAACGCTTATGGCGGCCATGTTTGTTTACAACTCGCCCGCGGGTCTCATCGCGCGCGCCATCGCTTATTCCTCTCGCGAGTAATTAGTTTGCGTGTATCTTGGAATCCATTCTCCGCGCGGTCACAAAAACTCTTTCGAGCCTCCTTAACTTTCTAAATTGCAAAGTGACCAAAGTTTCCTTTTGTGGTTGTTTTTGTTCAATAGGAGAAGGCGAACCCGACAGCGATTTCCCAGATACCACCGGCCGAGAATCTCCAAGAGCACCGCTGGCCACATCTGATGATGACCACGACCTTGATGAACCAGCAGAACACGAGAAGCTTATCACTGATAAAGGTAAGTTAACTTATTCTCTGTCACCTCTAAAAAGGACTTTAAAATATTTTTTTTGTAATGCAGACAACTTGTGGAAAAGAAATTGGATTTTTTAAAAGAGAGCTTTCTATAATGCTCAAAATGACAAACGTTTCCTTTTTTGTTGTTGTTCAAATGAAAAAGACAACCCGGACGACAATTTCCCAGAGGCCACAGGGCGAGAACCTCCAAGGGCACCATTAGCCACGTTTGATGATGACCACGACCTTGATGAGTTTGTGGATATGCTGCAAGAAACAGTTTTGTGAGCAGCAGCACTGCTTTCTCAAATCCTTCTCCAGATGACTACTTAAAGCAAGCCATTTCCTTTAAGCAGCTTTCTTTAAATTATGACTAAAATTATAGAGACATGAAGAAATATGGGTGAAACTGTTGTATTGTTGAAAGCATAGGTGACATTGCGGTTCAAGTGGTGTCAGATGTAGTACGACTCGAGGTGCATAGAAGTGTTCAGTCCATTTCTACCGCTCCAAAACGCCCTCTGAGCGGATTACATAAAGTAAGATACTAACTGATTTTATTAACAGCAAGGTAAATTTGTTAAAAAATTGCTTATACCTGAAGATTAGAGAAAAAGCTTAGTGGTTGTGATACATCTATCCAATCATCACCTGTTCAATGCTGTCAGTTAGTGCCTTCGTTGCAAGACAATGTTTAAGCCATCGTATTTACCCCATTGCAAATATATAGTAAGTGCACAGGTCAGATAATGCATGTGTATCTGGCTCATTTATTTACTCGAATTTGTTGTTATCATCTAAAATTTGTAGCTGGAAGGAAGCCGAAAGTTTAAATAACTATGATTTATTACTCACCATTAGTTAGATGCTATATCTTCACATTATTTGGTAGGTGGCTTCTTTGTATACCAAGGTACAGCCTTTAATCGTATTTACCCCATTGCACCATATACTGGGTGCACAGGTCAGATAATGCATGTGTATCTGCCTCATCTATTTACCCGATGTTGCTCTTATTCGGTCTTAGCCTTGTAGCTGGAGAAAAGAAAATGTCTCGGCACTATTACATGGTACGCATTATGTATTCTATGCTATGTCAGCATGTTATTTATTAGGTGGCTTCGAAGAATAACCGTGTTAAGTCATAAATCGTATTTACCCTACTGCACGCATATACTACTTGCACAGGTCAAATAATCCATGTATCTGCCTCATTTATTTACTCAAACTTGTTGTTATTAAAATGATATTAGATTTTGTTAGACATTTAAGAATAAACACTAGCGAGAAAAACTCACAACGTTTCGATGACTCCATGTCATCATTCTCAAGTGAGAAGAGAATAAAAATGAATAGTTAATTTATACCGTACGAAGGTGGCAAACGTAAAAAGTTTAAAATATTTAAAATATTTAAATAAATAATTGCGCGTGTTGAGTTCATAAATGTAAACTATTAAATAAATAGTTTCGCGCGTATGGAATCCGATTGTTTGTTCAAAGAGGGCTTCATCTTCTTTATGAAAAGCATTTCATGAACTAAACAGTCCAGTTTCCCGGTGCACTTTTTAAGTACGTTGAAATGCTTGGTCAGGTCGCCGATGGTTTGTAGGCCGTGGTCGTTCTTTAGATGTTTGCCGATGGCCGAATTACGGTGCTCATTAATACGTTGATGTAAATGCCGGCTGGTGTACCCGACGTACTCTGCATCACACAGATCACATTTATAATTATATACAACGCATTGTTGGCTAACTATAGGAGGTTTAGGCTCACGTACTCTGAGATCTTCACAGATTTTGCGACTCTTGAACACGGGATGAAGGGTGTGATCGATTTTGTTGCTTAGATCTGATAATTGCCTTTTCACTGCGTCAGCTGACTTTTGATCTTTAAAAGGCAAAACCACTCGGTGAACAGCATTTTCGTTGACGGATAATTGAGCTTGCACTCCAGGGTTTTCCGACCTAACTGAGGTGACAAAGTGAGAGATGGTGGAATTGATGAGGTGGTCGGGATACTTGAGGTTTGTAAACATCATCTTTAGATGATCACATTCAGATTGGAAGGACTCCCATGTGGACGACAGGCGGAATGCACGATTCAACATGGTCTTAAGTAGTGATTTCTTGTACCTTTTATCGACGTGGCTCTGGTGATGAAGCAATAGGCCTGTGTTTGTTGGTTTCCGATAAACACTAGTTTCTANGTGCATTCCGCCTGTCGTCCACATGGGAGTCCTTCAAATCTGAATGTGATCATCTAAAGATGATGTTTACAAACCTCAAGTATCCCGACCACCTCATCAATTCCACCATCTCTCACTTTGTCACCTCAGTTAGGTCGGAAAACCCTGTAGTGCAAGCTCAATTATCCGTCAACGAAAATGCTGTTCACCGAGTGGTTTTGCCTTTTAAAGATCAAAAGTCAGCTGACGCAGTGAAAAGGCAATTATCAGATCTAAGCAACAAAATCGATCACACCCTTCATCCCGTGTTCAAGAGTCGCAAAATCTGTGAAGATCTCAGAGTACGTGAGCCTAAACCTCCTATAGTTAGCCAACAATGCGTTGTATATAATTATAAATGTGATCTGTGTGATGCAGAGTACGTCGGGTACACCAGCCGGCATTTACATCAACGTATTAATGAGCACCGTAATTCGGCCATCGGCAAACATCTAAAGAACGACCACGGCCTACAAACCATCGGCGACCTGACCAAGCATTTCAACGTACTTAAAAAGTGCACCGGGAAACTGGACTGTTTAGTTCATGAAATGCTTTTCATAAAGAAGATGAAGCCCTCTTTGAACAAACAATCGGATTCCATACGCGCGAAACTATTTATTTAATAGTTTACATTTATGAACTCAACACGCGCAATTATTTATTTAAATATTTTAAATATTTTAAACTTTTTACGTTTGCCACCTTCGTACGGTATAAATTAACTATTCATTTTTATTCTCTTCTCACTTGAGAATGATGACATGGAGTCATCGAAACGTTGTGTGTTTTTCTCGTTGTTGTTATTATTTAAGACTAAGGTTAATTTTTGTAGAGGCTTGTGCAAACGCAAAGGAAGATCAGTTGTTACAGTCGTAATAAAGTGCTGGTGCAGTAAGATACATATACAATTGTACTGGGAATTAACATCAGAGTGAAATGTTGCAAGTTTTCAAGCCACAATAGTATGAAATAAAAATAATAGTAAATAAATTTGCAGTTGACATTGTATTCTTATTTAATAATTAACAAATAGAAAGTTTTGAAGTTTAGAGATCATTCCATAATTGGCAGAAAAACTTGCTGATTCATGTTACCATTTATTCCCTTAAATTTGTCGGTCAAAAAACAACCATTAGAAAGTGTGAAACATTGAAAGATATTATCAGCCATTTTGGAGCATATTTAAAGCTCTTCTTATAAAGGCTCGAAACGGTTTCCTTTAGCTAGTTTTTCCAGTTCATTGCCGGAATTTTACGTCGATAATAATATTAGAAAAACCAGCGGTCATGCCTGATCAATTCAAGACCCAGTCCGAGAGGCAACATGTTTCTGTAGAAACGATATAGCCTCTTGGAATGACCCCTACTTTTAGCTCTCATGATACCTGTAACTCAAAGCGAAATTTAAGTGTCCCTGTCTGAGAAAGTGTTCCAGGGGCCAAAACTGGTGGTCAACCGATTCGGCTGAGACTTGGCACAAAAGTTGAGTGTAATAAAATATTTCAAAAGCCACTTTGGCTCACTTCTCTGAAAGTTTGTTCTGGAGTTTGAGGGGGATCCCATTTGTGGCCTGTGGAGCACCAAAAATTCAGCATTCTAGGTGGCATTTTGAAAGTGCTATAAAACTCCCTTGGTAAATTGCGCTTCCAAATGAATTCGACCATAGACTCTACTATAGTGGAGCTTTTACTTCATAAATGTAACTTTGTTCTCAAGTGATTAGACAGAGAGGGGCCTGGGGCTAAAGTTAGGTCAAATTTGAGGTCAAAATCATTACCCAAAATTGCTATTTTTCCAAAAACCATAACACTCGCCTGCCTTCTTGCATAACTTTCATACCAAATCCAGTATGTACTTTAGTGACCCATTTATCAAAATCAGTTGAGAAAAATTTGGCTTAATAAGGTTTGTTAGGTTTTTGGCACAAACTCTCCATGCCCCTCTAAGGCCAGGCAAAATGGAGTTTTGAACAGACCAAATTCTTGACATAAAGCCTTTATTTTGTATCAGGTGAGTGTACAGGAAACACTAAAGCCAATCCAGTGTCATTAGCTGAAAATACCTCGACTCTAAGAAGTCCTCTGATTAGCACTACATACACCCGGGTTTAGCAAATAAAGGCAATTTTTTTCTTTGAAAACCCAGTACTCATCATAGAGCACAAATGACGATGTTCTCACCCAGATATGACAATCTTTTTTAGAGATGGTTGAATTTCCTCTGATTTATATTTTTCAGGTCATATTTCCATACGTACTATACTCACAAGCATGCAAAGTCTCTATATTTTGTCGGACACATGTTTTGATGCAGTATGAAGTGAGCTTAATGATAACGACCGTTAACAGAAGATCTATGGTTAAACTTTTGATAGCCTTGCTAGCTCTTGTAAATACGTGTGATGGCATCAGTGAAAGAGCAAGATAATACATACAAGTTGTAGTGAGTAGCGTCCAGGTGACTTGTGATCCATCCGATTTCCCTGGTACGTTAGAGCTTAATAAATTAATTCATCCGGCAGTAAATAAGAAATCCACAGTTAGGAGAGCTGGATAAATATTTTGTGTTGCAGTTTATATGAAACATGCCACGCAAAAGTTCGACATGCGATTGTTACTGTATCGACTAGTGCACCATATTGGACGTGAGAGTGAGAGGACTGAACCAAGTCGAGGAGTCACGCAACCTTCACTGAGTTTTGTCGACCATCACTAGCGGTAATTACAGGAATTTGCTAACTGTAGAAGAGTTTGGAATTAACACTACCTATAATTTCAATGTCAAAAAAACTTGCACAGTGACTGTAGTTGAATAAGTTTTTGCTATTGCAACACCTTGGTTAATCTTCCCTTGGCAGAAAGTTCGCGAAAGTTGAAATCTTCATACAAAAGAGAATTGGAAAACAACCAAACTATTTTTGAAACATGTGTCCTAAACCCTTTTATAGGAAAAAAAATTAATGGAAATATTTTTTGGACGGGAATTTGAGAGGACCGCTCTTGACGAAAGACCGAAAGTCCTGACCCCTTGTACTTGTGTTTTAACCAAGCAGTCATGTCATTATCGCGAGACAACAAAGGATTAATTCCTGTTTCGTGCAGAGCCCATGACACGGCACCGCACTGATCATTTACAAAAGCGCCATCGTTAAATTCTCCTGAAACTTCTTATCACTACACTTTTAATACTTGATAAGATACAAACATTTACGCTTGGGGAGGGGTGGAAACTCGGTCCAGTCCTAATACTCTCACGTCCAAAATGGACCTATTGGGATCATCTCATGCCTCGTGAGGAATATTTCATTTAAACAGCAACAATAATTTTTTGTTATGGAGCTCTTCTGACTGTGGATTCCCACTTTGTTGGATTGTTCCATTTATTCAGTTCTAAAGTACCTAAGATCTCTGGTGTATCACAAGTCACCTGGACGGTGCTCACTGCGGCAGGTAAGCTTATGTATGTATGGTCATGCTCGCTTGGGTATTTGCGAGAGCTATTCAGCCTATTCAAAGGTCAGACGTTTCATGATCATCTTTTAACGATCGTTTTATTCTTAGCTTAATGGTTAAGGCCGGGTTAAGGTCACTTTATTTTCAAGTAAAAAACGGCCTGACAAAATATAGAGACTTTGCATGCTTGGAGTATGATACATATGGAAATATGGCCTGCCAAACATAGACCAGAGAAAATTCAAACATCTTTAAAAAATATTGTCATATCTAGGTCAGAACATCGTCATTTGTGCTCTATGATGGGTACAAGGTTTTCATTTATTACTTTACTTTATTTTGCTAACCCGCTAAGTGTTTGTAGTGCTAATCAGAGGCCTTCTTAGTGCATTTGTAAGCTATGAGTCGAGGTATTTCGGAAAAATGACGCTGATTTGGCTTTAATGTTTCATTTTCACTCAACTAGTACAAAATAAAGGCCTTATGTCAAGAATTTGGTTTGTTTATAGCACGAATTATGCTCAAAACTCCATTTTTCTTGGCCTTAGAGGGGCATGGAGAGTTTGTGCCAAAAACCTAACAAACCTTATTAAGCCAAATTTTTCTCAACTGATTTTGATAAATGGGTCACTAAAGTACATACTGGATTTGGTATGAAAGTTATGNTTTTGGAAAAATAGCAATTTTGGGTAATGATTTTGACCTCAAATTTGACCTAACTTTAGCCCCAGGCCCCTCTCTGTCTAATCACTTGAGAACAAAGTTACATTTATGAAGTAAAAGCTCCACTATAGTAGAGTCTATGGTCGAATTCATTTGGAAGCGCAATTTACCAAGGGAGTTTTATAGCACTTTCAAAATGCCACCTAGAATGCTGAATTTTTGGTGCTCCGCAGGCCACAAATGGGACCCCCCCCCCCTCAGACTCCAGAACAAACCTTCAGAGAAGTGAGCCAAAGTAGCTTTTGAAATATTTTATTACACTCAACTTTTGTGCCAAGTCTCAGCCGAATCGGTTGACCACCACTTTTGGCCCCTGGAACACTTTCTCAGACAGGGACACTTAATCTTTTTCCTTTGTTATTCCAGTTCTCAATCAGTGTATCGAAATTCCCTTTTTTCCACGGAGTTGAAAAAACAAAACAAAACAAAACAAAAAAAAATTGTAGTTTAGGCCCAGAACAACTTTACTTTTTTCGAGAATAAAAGGTCAATAGCGTAGCCAGGGGAGGTCCTGGGGTGCCTGTGACTCCCCCTTTGTGAATCTTTTTTTTTCACATCAAATAAAACACGGCGTGGAGGTCTACCTGACAGTTAGGTGTGTACCCCTTATTGATACGGTGTGACCCTCCGCCTTTAAAAAATCCTGACTACGCCCTTGAAGTTATTAACTGTTTCTGTCTATTTATTTATTGTCTAAAAGAATACATCATCCAGATTAGTTGTCGTTTTCTCTTCCCATTGATTAATATGTATGCGCTCTGAATTCCTCGAGAAATAAAGACCTTAAAAGTCTTCTTTGTCGGTAATCTCAACCGGGCGAAAGGTTTCCCTTGGAAAAAACTGTGCACTCTGTCTAGAGTATGACACTTATAAATTAGCTACCTCATCTGCCATTCTAGACACTTGTTATTTGCAACTCCTAGGATTACTTTCATAAATTAGCTGACGTTTTCTACTCGTTGCTAAACAATTTAAGAAGGATTTAAAACAAGATCATGCGATGGCAATAGATAAGCGAACTTGAGTGATTTTAAAGTGGTGAAAGCTAGACCACGTTATGCGACTGAACTTGTTATATATATATTTAAGCTCCAATTAGCGCCCAGCTTGAAATAAGCGCCCCGCTTGGAATTAGCGCCCCTCCTAAGGTTCAAAATTTGTAATAAGCGCCCCCTCTTCATCCCCCGAGAAAAAAATGAGTTTCGGTACTCGGTACGATATACGAGATGTATACGGTCTATATGGTTCTTTAAATGAAATGTGACCTTGTCAAATAGGATAAACGAAATAAGCGAACCCCCCTCTCGCCTTAGAAAATTTAATAGGCGCCCCGGGCGCTAATTCGAGCATTTACGATATATTTAATAATTATTCCACTAGCGCGCGTTGGATATGAGACTGTAAACTTCTGTGTCGAATAAAGATACTGAAATAAATGAAAAACGAAAGTTCTCTTTTTCTTGGTGCCTGGTTTGATGCGTCCACGAAGAAACAGGCAGCAGAACATTACATGGTTTAACCCACCATCTAGCAAGAACGTAGAAACTAACGTCGGATAATGCTTCCTTACACTTATCAATAAGTATTTCACCAAAACTAATCCTCTTCACAAAATTTTTAACCGAAACACCCTTAAATTGAGCTACAGCTGCATGGGCAGCATTAAAACTGTCGCATCTAACCATAACAAAGCAGCACTGCATTGATGAGGCCCAGAAGGCCGAAACAGTTATAAGCTTCTCGGCCTCTTGGCTAAGTATTAAAGGCTAATGAGAAAGTTTTTGTCTCTTATTTTGCAGACTTTGATCACGATGAATACCGCGGAAAGCCAGGAAAGTCCAGTTATTGATGAGTTCACAAGTACAAACGCAAGTTCACCAGGCGCATACGCACTAGCCGATCAATGTTAGGGCGACACTCCAGTAGAAGCTCCAGAAGCATTAAAGTGGCTCGAAAACAGTGGCACCAGGTTCATTGGCGTGCCTTTCGTAAACATGCCGTCCAAAAAAATTGTCAAAGATCGGTTAATTTATTTTTCAGTGGATACGTTGGTCACAACGCAGCTTACTTTGGAATCCTTTGATGCCGCCAGCATTGATATCGATTCCATAACAAGCGTGCAACGAAAATCCTCCAACAAGTCTTGGATTGTCACTTTCGCCTCCCGAGCCGCCAAGGAAGCAGCATTGGAGATCCAACATGTCACCATGTCAGGGCTGAGTGTGTTCTTAGGGGACTGCGATAATCACCTCGCCCTTGTCAAGATATACGAAGCGCCTGCGGAGTTACCCGACACGGTATTAATTGGGCGGCTGAGCTCCTACGGCAAGTACTTAGTTTCCGGAGAGCCGGAGAGATAAGATTGCCCAGCATATTGAGAACGGGGTTCGCACTGCCAGAATGAATATCCAACGCATCATTCCGAACATCGTCAAAGTAGCCGGCGAAGTGGTGCGAATTTAGTATCCCAACCAGCCCAAATCTTGTCGCAATTGTGCCTCTGAAGACCACCTAGCTAAAGATTGCCAATCGGTTAGATGCTTTAATTGTGAAAAGCCTGGCCATCGTGCCCAAGATTGTGGAGAGCTGGCAAAATGCAGCGTATGCAGAGCAGAAGATCACGACATCAGTAATTGTCCGTTCGTTTTATTCAGTGCGAATGTTAACAATGAACCCAGTGAAGAAAAATCGGACGAGCAAAAACAGAAAGAGAAGGAAGAACGAGCTAAGCGAATGAGGGAGCGGATAGAGGACAAGCGCAAACAAGAAGAGCTAAAACGCAAACAAGGGAAGCTAAAACGCAAACAAAAAGAGCTAAAGCGCAAGCAGGAGGAGGAGCAAAAGCGTAAACAAGACGAAGAACGACAGCGGCAACAACTGGACGACAGAAGAGAGCGCAGAAGGAATTCTGAGAATGAATGAAGGAAGGATGGCAGAAGAGAAGAGCGAAGAGAAGATCGCAGGGACGAAAGAAGAGAAAGAGATGATAAATATTATCGGGACCATTATCGTTACGAGCGCGACAGATCCAGCCGCCGTGATCTCTGTGTTACGAGGATCGAATTATTTTTACTGAATCTGTCACGCAATCCCAGACTTTTCTAGAATTATCTATAGTCTGTAATATTCCAGAAACTTCTTTCATGTGACTCAGCAGTTTCCAAAAATAGTACAACTTGTAATACGCTATAAATAGTAATAGAACATTCTAGATAACTAAAGTAAATGTATAAAAGCTGGCTTGTGAGAAGTACAAAAAAGATTTGCCCGAGGGCTTACCCTCGTGGCTTGCTGACTGAACTTCTGGAAGCTATGATGTGACAAGGCTATGACCTTTTGACCTTGCGATACCCGGAG